GACTGGGATTGTTCAGTGGAAACTATCGCAGACTACGAGGCGACCTGATTATGGCATACTTGATTCTGCGAGACCCACATCATGTGGGCCGCCCTTTACTGCAACTCAGCAGCAATACAAACTTGAGGGGCCACTCATTAAAACTCACAGAACAATACAGTCGTCTGGAGTGCCGCAGAAATTTCTTTTCCATTCGTGTCTGTCACCCGTGGAATGCTCTCCCAGAATCGGTCATCTCTGCACTGACACTAACAATAGTTAAAAGACGGTTGGATGATGCACTCATCCACTTACACTTTGTTAGTTAAGACTGCGCCTCCATCCTACACGTGGAGTTTACCATAGAATTATTTGTTGTTAACTGTGGGTGCTGTGAATCTAAGAGGACCGCAGATCTACAGCGAAGTAAACGATAAGTCCTTATTTTCATGTTTAAAGTATTAACTATTTTACTATCCTTATTGTCCTTATTGTTATATTGATATCCCCACCAACTACCCAAAGGAACTTGTAAAGTAACGCTCCTTAACCCGTATAAATTCATTGTTTATTGTTCGTTGTTCAGCTAGTTCAGGAGTTTTGCTAGGGCCGTTCAGAACTTTATACTCTTCTAGTATGAGAGTTTGGTCATTTTGATGCCGCTGTTCTTTGATCAGCTTGACTGCTGTAATAACAGCGCAAAGTCAGCAGTTAATCTGAATTTCCGCCGAATCGTATGCAGCTTTTGTGCTGCTTTTGATGCTTTACCGTCGGATTCATTTTTAGTTTGGTAAGTAGATTTTAGCGACGCTGTTGAATCGATGCAGAATCTAACTATACTGTAAAACTTATCCGTCATTTGTTGAGATCATGAAGAGAGAAAGGTTTTCCAATTCATCAAACAAATCTGGTCCTTGAACGAGCTCCAGTTGGTGGAACTGAACAAACGATAATGCATTGTGTTCTCTACATCGGTCATGCGCAGTCTTAAGTGGCATTGACCAAAAGTGAATCGCTTTCCGGGAATACATCACGAAGGTTACTACTGATTACAGGTATGCCTAAGGAAAAAATATGAGATCCAGTTTACAAATCTGTTAGTGGCTTAGTAGATTACTACGACTAGTTGGCGGCTTGAAAATATCAGAAGGTGTGCACTAACAAAAATGAAGTATAAGTATTGAGGCGTGTTCGTTATGTATCAGTACAGTAAAGATATAAAAAGGATAGGCCGGCCCTAAGAATACAATGTACGAGATAGAATTTAATAGTGTTACTCAAAAATAAGGTAATGAGAAAGTGGTGACTTATCTCACAGCACAAATCCTGTTCGTGGGGAAATCGTAGGTCGCGGCCAGTCCGGTCGTGTGATGATTGCCTTGTCGTCGTGGGCGTAGCGCTTTTCTTGACGGTTGTCAAAGCACCAGTCGGGACGGTCGTGTGACGTTCGTTGTAGTCGGTCGGGGGAATGTCGTTGTCGATGTACTATACGGTTTTATATAATACTTCATTCAGGCGTTCAAACATGTGGGCCGTACGTAGTACGATGTGTGAATGTAGGTCAAGGGGAAGAGAAGTACACAAGGTGAGAATGTGTTATCCGAGACAATCTCGATAAGAATGAAACAGTTTTGTTTTGTTGACCTCGGTCGTGATGTAAGTCACGCGACTCAATTACACGATGTGAGGATGTGGTATCCAAGGCAATCTCGATAAAACTAGGTTTTATTAGGTTGACCTCGGATTTAAGTACACGTGCACGTGGTGATGAAATCTTCCGTTCCGAAGATAGTGTAACGGAATCAAAAGTGCATGTGCAATGCGACCTCACAATACCCTCCTCCTTGAAAAAGGGTATGCATCGGGGCCTGAGTTGTGTCAGCCTGCAACAAAACGGTCAGGCCAATGTACCTGTCTTCCAGATCGCGTGGTGCGTTCTTGATTTCGTCCCGGAATTGTGGGTGGTCGTGTATTGTCGATCGTCAGCGTCTTGGCCTTGTCAGTGCGTGTTGGATCGTTGTCCGTGTGGTATGTCTCCACTGAATCCGTATACGCCGGTTTCAAACGATCTATGCTGATAGTATCAGGTTTGCCACGCCATAGAATGGTGAAGTATTTCTCTTGGCGTGAAAGTACCGGAAACGGGCCCTCATAAGGAGGTTGTAAAGGTTGTTTTACCCTGTCAGTGCGAATGAAAACATGGGTACAGGTCGAAAGTTCTGGAGGAATGTGGGGTAGTTTTGTTGTGAAAGTGGATGCGCAGTATTGTAGTTTGCTCATGTGCGTTTTCAGACGAGCCACATACGTTGGAGGGTCACTGAGTACTGCTGTGTCAGGCGTGAAAAATTGGCCGGGTATACGTAATGTTGTGCCAAAGACCAACTCAGCAGGTGAACAGTTCAGTGTTGTACGAAACATCGTGCGTATGTGAAGTAGGATGAGTGGGAGTTGTTCTGTCCATCTAGCTGAATCACCGTTTGCTTTGAAAGCGGTTTTTAAGTGTCGATGAAAACGTTCGACTAAACCGTTCGCTTGTGGGTGATAGGCCGTTGTACGTATACGTTTGCAACCGAGTAGTTCGGTCAGTTGCTGAAAAAGGTGTGACTCGAATTGTGAACCTCGATCAGTGGTTATGTAGGAAGGAACACCGAAAATGGCAATCCATCTGGTAATCAGTGCGCGAGCAATAGTTTCTGTCGATGTGTCCGCAATAGGAATGGCTTCAGGCCATCGAGTGAAACGGTCTATACAAGTCAGAATGTATGAATTTCCGTTTGAATGGGGTAGTGGACCAACTATATCAATATGAATATGGTCGAATCTGCGATCTGGTTGTGCGAAAGTACCAGTATCAGAGTGCGTATGCCGAACGACCTTAGAACGTTGACACGGTATGCAATGTTTAGCCCATTTGCGTATGTCCACGTTCATATTCGGCCAAACAAAACGTTGCGCTATTAAACGAAGGGTCGCGCGGATTCCAGGGTGAGAAACGTTATGAAGAGCGTTAAATATTTCTCTACGCATAGGTTCGGGTACCCATGGTCTGGGGTTATTTGTCGCCATATCACAGTCAATTGTACCTGGTGCCGAAGGTATCGGAAATGGTCGTATCTTCAACGATGAGGATTGCTTATCCGTATGCGTCGGTAGTGGCATAGCTTTCTGCAGTCGTGCCATGCGTTGGAAATCGATGGAGGATATACCGGTGATCTCGTCGACAGCCGGTCGGGACAAGTTATCCGCTACAATATTACTAGCACCAGTTATGTGTCTAATGTCGCATGTGAACTGTGAGATGTAATCGAGATGACGAATCTCACGAGGTGAATAGCGGTCGGGCTTAGCAAGGAAGGCGGAGACTAACGGCTTGTGGTCAGTAAAAACACAAAATTCACGGCCTTCGAGAAGATGTCGAAAGTGCTTAATAGCTAGATAAATGGCTAAAAGTTCCCGGCCAAAGGTGCTATAGTGTGTTTCCGTCGTCGTCAATCTTTTTGAGAAGAAGCCAATGGGTTGCAGTTGATTATTAACGTGTTGATTCAGGACTGCTCCGACGGCTGTATTAGAAGCGTCGGTGTGAAGAGACAACGTTGCGTCCGGACGGATATGAAACAGATTCAATTGATTTTTAAGAACGCTTTTTATTTGCGTGAAAGCTTGCGTAGCGGCATCGGACATTTCAAAATGTTTCTGAGGTCCAACCAAGAGATTTGTTAGAGGAGCTAAAATCTCGGCTGCATGCGGGATGAAACGTCGGTAATAATTAATCATTCCCAGAAACCTCTTGAGTTGGCGGAAGGATGTCGGGGGAGGATACGTTGTGAGCGATAACGAGTTGTGATCTGTTGGTGTCAGACCAGTGCTATCGATTCGGTGACCTAGGTAATCTAATGACGGAACTCCTAGGGTGCTCTTTCGTAGGTTGATGGTGATACCAAATTTGTCTAGACGCTGAAATAACGTACGCAAATGTAGTTTGTGCTCTTCTGGTGTCTTACTGGCTATTAAAATATCGTCCAAGTACGCGAAAACAAAAGGTAGACCATGTAAGACTTGATCAATAAACCGTTGAAAAGTTTGCGCAGCGTTACGCAATCCAAAAGGCATACGTAAAAATTCGAACATACCGAACGGAGTAGTAACTGCGGTCTTATGTATATCGTCAGGATGCACCGGAATATGGTGGTATGCTCTGAATATATCGATGTGCGAGAAGATTGTGCTACCAGCAATGTTCGATGTGAAATCCTGTATATGTGGGATGGGGTATCTGTCAGGCTCTGTAACATTGTTTAGAGCTCTGTAGTCGCCACAGGGTCGCCAGTCATTTGGATCTGATTTCGGTACCATGTGTAGAGGTGATGACCAAGTGCTTTGTGAGGGACGTATTATTCCTAATTGAAGCATGTGTTGGAACTCAGCCTTAGCTATTTTCATCCTATCAGGATTCATTCGACGTGGGCGAGCGTACACTGGATTACCATGGGTTACTATGCGATGGGTTACGTCGTGTTTAATCTCCGTCTGATGGAACTTCGGTTTTAGGAGAGCAGGAAAATCACGTAAAATTGCGGAGAATGAAGAATCAAACATATTCGCGGCAAAAAGGCTTGGTGTGAATGATGGATTTGTAGTAGTCTGACCAGTAACAGGTAATCGGGTCGTCAAATCTCGGAGACAACGATTGTTAAGATCGACTAACAATTTAAAATGGGTCAAAAAATCGGCACCAAGTAAGGGCTGTTTGACATCCGCTACGATGAATACCCATGTGAAGGAGCGACGTAAACCAAGGTTCAGAGTTAAGGAGCGTTGTCCAAAAGTGGAAATACATGTACCATTAGCTGCAGTCAGTCGTAGTGAGCTCTGTTTGAGGGCATGCTGGCCTTGAGAGGGGGGTATGACACTGATGTCCGCTCCCGTGTCGATCAAGAAATGTAGTCCGGATGTCCGGTCCTGTATGATCAGTCGGCGATTGGTATGTGTCGGGCAGATCATGGTCGCCTCACAGATCCGCCCTATTCGTTTCCCGGAGCCTTAAAATCCACTCTTAGTTGTGACTTAAATGTGCAGGGGTGTCTACATTTCTTTGCCTCTGGTCCAAATATCTGATGGTACCAACAAAATGCGGGGTTCGATGCCTGACTAGACGAAGAACTATGTGAGTAAAAACGTGAAGGAGATCGGGGGAAATTACGGCATTTGGAGTTGCGGGAAGGAGATCGCAATCGACGTCTGAAATGAGGTGCCCTAGAGATGCTCATCTCATTTAGCTGTTGTGACAATCGTGTTATCCGATCTGATAAATCGTTATTTGATGGGCCGGGGGTATGGTGGTCTAGCGAGTTGACCTGCGGTTGGACATCCAGTATACGGTCCGCCATCATTGCCAACTTATCAATTGGAACTTCCATTACGGATGGGGCTAGAATGGCTTGGACATGTTGAGGTAGCCGTTTTAAAAATATTTGAGTGAATAGACCAGTGTCTATCTTTCGTTCTCCCTTAACGCAAATCAAACGGCGCAGGAGTTGCGATGGTGTCAGGTCTCCCAGTGCTTCATCTGCTAGAAGTTGTTCTAGCCTTTTGTGTTCTGAAATTGAGGTACGACGGATTAGAGCATCGCGGAGCTGTTGGAATGGAGTGATGGGGTCGGGAGATAACAAAATATCTCGAACATCGGCAACTACTTCTGATGGTAATGCGGCAAGCACATGATAGAACATTGTCATCTCCTGTGTAATTCTGCGGAGGGCAAATTGTGCTTGAACTTGCGTAAACCAAATGGCCGGATCGCTGTGCCAAAAAGGTGGTAAGTGAAGTGACACTACGTTGGTTTGAGGTTCGTTATTGTCATCCATCTTATATGAGTTCGAGTGATGCTGCCGTTTGGATGTATGAGAGAAATTCCCTAACACACGATAGTTTACTGCAGTTGGTTTCTGCCTACTTGCTTACGTCGGGGTCACCAATTGTTAGTGGCTTAGTAGATTACTACGACTAGTTGGCGGCTTGAAAATATCAGAAGGTGTGCACTAACAAAAATGGAGTATAAGTATTGAGGCGTGTTCGTTATGTATCAGTACAGTAAAGATATAAAAAGGATAGGCCGGCCCTAAGAATACAATGTACGAGATAGAATTTAATAGTGTTACTCAAAAATAAGGTAATGAGAAAGTGGTGACTTATCTCACAGCACAAATCCTGTTCGTGGGGAAATCGTAGGTCGCGGCCAGTCCGGTCGTGTGATGATTGCCTTGTCGTCGTGGGCGTAGCGCTTTTCTTGACGGTTGTCAAAGCACCAGTCGGGACGGTCGTGTGACGTTCGTTGTAGTCGGTCGGGGGAATGTCGTTGTCGATGTACTATACGGTTTTATATAACACTTCATTCAGGCGTTCAAACATGTGGGCCGTACGTAGTACGATGTGTGAATGTAGGTCAAGGGGAAGAGAAGTACACAAGGTGAGAATGTGTTATCCGAGACAATCTCGATAAGAATGAAACAGTTTTGTTTTGTTGACCTCGGTCGTGATGTAAGTCACGCGACTCAATTACACGATGTGAGGATGTGGTATCCAAGGCAATCTCGATAAAACTAGGTTTTATTAGGTTGACCTCGGATTTAAGTACACGTGCACGTGGTGATGAAATCTTCCGTTCCGAAGATAGTGTAACGGAATCAAAAGTGCATGTGCAATGCGACCTCACACCTTAATGAAATTTGTGAAGGGGAAGACTTGCATTGTATCCCACAGTTTTATTGGTTGGTTGAGCCTCGAGAAGCCACACGGGCCTTGCTGAAACGCGAAATAACCTCCTCATTTGAAGAAGACTTGGGAAGTGATCGCTTTTTCACAATTCACAGCAGGTCTTTACATTTATGTGGGGGAATGAGTGAGCAAAGAAACTAATTAAATCTGGTGTGCTAGTGATAATATCACAGTTTGAAACAGAGACAATGAGGCCGGTCGATTGTTATCCAGTTAAGTCAGGTGATAGAAGTTACCACACTGCATCACCCTAATAAACAAGAAAACGCAGAGGAAGTAAGGACGTAGAGGATAATAGGGAACAAAGCTCACAGTTGGCCGGGGTCACTGTCAGATACGGACGGAATCCTGGCTACGGTCAAGGCGAACTCTAGCTTTTATAATCGTTCTTTGCTTTCAAACCACAGGTAATAATCGCCTGATCATCATAGCCTTGATAGTGGCCAGCAGGCGCTTTAGAAGTACTTTAGGGATTGCTTAGAAACAGTGTAGACCATATTGAATCCGTCCTCAGTCTGAATCTGATATCCAGTACTAAGCAGATGCTCATGGATAAGGCTGTAATCATTCCTAAGTATGCCAGATTGTAGAGAAGCAGTACAAAGTTCCATTACCCTCTTAAACAGAAGCTTGTTCACAAGTCCGATGTACATTACAACATAGGTGCATGTGAATTAATATAACCCAATTGATTCTGATCGAGCCGGGTTTCTGTCTCCGAGGCTTTGGTTATTGAATGGAACTGGATAAGAATGCGTACTCTACCAGCCGTAAACGTTTGACTTATCGTGGTCTACCATCTTCTGCGCAGCAACTCGTAGGCTGGCTTGCTGAACTACCGTATTTGGTGTAAGATAGGTATTTCGGGATTATTCTTTTTCTGTCAATAGCTTGACGGCAGTGCTCCAGGACGTAGTGGGTTTTCGCCTGGGTAGCTTTCTCCCTATAAAAGCCACGTATATCCGTCTAACTACATCGCGATTTGGCGGATTTGACACGTTGCTAGATCTATTCACCGCCCATTGATTCACTCCAGTGGAGCATTGTATTCCAGCATCCCATTACTAAAAGTCTGAGGAGTTTTGGATCTCTGTTTTTCTACCTACCAAACGAAAGGTATATGAGCTGAGTGATCTGTCACCAGTCCCCAGTGGTCTCGATTCCTTGAATAAGCCCCACTGCATTGCAGGTGGTCTAATCAGTCATAGGCTAGGACTGGGGTCCCCTAAGACTACTTTCTACTTCGGTATGGGCAATCGGGTAGTATCATGCTCTCATAAAACCACGCAGTGTTCTTCCACGTTTTCATCTGATTTCGTTTTTCATCTTACATTCACGCGACTTTATCACACTCCAATAGTTTGCTCGCTAACACTGGTTACCATTCTTTACCTGATCCCTGTGTTCAAAAATCCCGTTGTGATTCCGGTTGTGCGGTGAACCACGGAGTCCAACATATAACTAATTTCGAGCCCAATCCTCGTTCTGTCTGGCGTGCTTCAACGTTCGGACACTAATGTAGATTGGACAGGAAGCCGGTCTAGCGCACACATAAGCGTCGCGCGATATTGACGTTTGGTACCTTTTAAAAACATGATTGCAAGACACCAGTGTCGTGCTTACACTGACATCCTGCACTAACCACGAAGCCAGATATCACCTGCGTTTTTCTCGAGATCCAGAAGCATCTTCAGCGGCTTTGGCTGATGTAGGGATAACACTAAGTGGTAAGACGAAGACGGCAGTGCTGAACTGGTTGCCGATTAAAAGCCGACTGTGTGCAGTTCGGGTTCGAGGTTCATGCAGAATCAACAAGCGTCCCGAGGAGAAAAGCAACTTGTTTGCGATCCCCGCGTACGCTAGGACTGTCTGCATTAGTGATTTGGTCAATGGCGACTTCTATCTGGAGTTGCACTAGCTTGACTAACCCTAAAAGTCGGTTGTCGTTGTCCTTGCTGAGCATTTTAATGCGGGCATTGGCAGTCTGCTATCGTACGAATGCTACCTTGGTGGTCACCATACACTCATTGATGCCCACTTAACAAAGGACAGAGACTAGTTACATTGTGCGAAGACAACCATCTGTTTCTCTCGAGCACCAAGTTCGGGCAAAGGAAGAAGCCGTACGCAACTTGACTTGTCGCTTCGTCAAATTGATCGCACTACAGTCAGCTTCAAATGGTATGGCAGCGTAATGAACTTCAAATCATTTGATCCAACTTTGTTGATCAGATCATGCACTGGTCTGCGCAAAAATCTGCAAGTGTCTTAGGGGTCCCGATAAAAGAAGCAAAGCAAGATTGCTGTAAACAGCTTAACTGATTCCCCTTTTCAGGCGAGCTATCAGTCGCCACTGACATAAGCACCGTTACAATAAACCGCAGGTTATGGGGTAACATTGGACTTGTATAAAGAAAGCGGACAGTCAAGCTGCGATATAGCTCGACGCTCCTTAAAGACTTTAATCTCTGATCTTTCTCCAGAGTTTTTCGGCCACCGCAAAGCCATCCCGGCGGAGTCAGATAGTAAGGAGAGGCGCCGCTCTGCCAACCGGCTGCTTAAGCAAAGGCCAACACAAAGATCGCGAAGCATGGTGTTCTGAGCACCCTTTAGTGATGGAGAGCACTGCCCACTCTGGCAACACTCGCATGCGTTTCCAACTCATTAGGTCCATTAGCCTCAATTAGCCTCATGTCAGTGAGGTGATTTTCGAAGCTGAAGGGTCTTCGATCACCGTCCGACAGAGGCGTTTAGACAGCTAGATCAAAAATTCCATCGCAGATCAACTAGCGTCCACCGTCCATCAGTGTATGGAGTACACATTGTTGTCTACCCTAGGTTGTCCCACTGAATCCATCTAGAAAACAGACGTCTACCTTGAGATTAGATGCTGGAAACGATTCTAAGTTATCGCCTTAGACGAGCTTCCTTTGGATCTGTTCAGGTTCGACGGCTTAGCAAACACTAACCAGTTGACCTCGTGGTTCGCGAAAATATGTCTTGAAGAGAACGTGCCTTCTTATTGGGGAGAATCAGTAATGGCCCAATTTTCGAGAAGGGCACTCGCACTTCATGTGTTAATTATTTCGGGAATTAGTCTTATTTCGGTTGTCTCCAAGCTACTGGCATTCACTCTGCCTTGTAAACTATCTCTAGTACTTGAACCATACTACCGTAAAGACTTAGCTGAATTTCGTTCCGGTCGCAGTTGTGTGGATCAAATATTCACAATTCACCAACTTCTCGAACATCGTCACGCTTGTCATAGACTCACTATCATTGCATTCCTATACATAGTTGCTGCATTTGACTCTGTCGATGGACCTTTATGGTGCTGCTTGGCTGAAAACCGGTGTGCCAGAGAATTATACCGCCATCTTAAGTGAACATTATCTTCGTACTTACTGCAAAACGAGGGTCTACGTAAGCTTTCCGCGCCATTAGTTGTCAATAATGGTGTGCGACATAGCCGTGTCGCCTCCTTCCCTCCCCTTTCTTTTGCTACACCATCGCTATATATAAGTGGTCCACTCCGTGGACCGGCGAAATTTGTTCCACTTGCATTGTTTTTCACTGTAATAGTTTGTGCATTATCTGTCGTTTTGTTTAGATGCTTTTCCTGTGGGACTATTTTGTCCACGAATATTCTCGTCATTCGCAATTACTTTATGCTAATAGGAAACTGAGCTCCGCTGTCTTGCCAAGGGAATATTCGTCCCGCATTTATTACAGAAGAAGGATAGAAACCGCAACATTTTTTGTCCAACACCGGCGGAGCAGCTTTTGTTCATGGATCCTGTCAAGTAAAAATGCCTAATCCTTAAATGGCAAGACTGGTTGCATTAACACTTAAAAAATGTATGTCAGTGATTCGGCAGTGTCAAGAAGAAAATGCTGAGGAACATTGACGGAAATTTAGGGTAGATGGGACACAACTCCTTTGACTTCTAAAAAGGTAAGTTTAGTTTTTGAACGCTTATGAAAACAATGCTTCAATACTTATGGGAGGAACATCACTAAGACCTGAAAGGTATACAAACACACTGTGTTAGATATGTTGCCAGTCCATAAATTCAAGAAAAATTCTATT